TTTTTTTTTCAACGCCACCTCAATATTTGTTGCCTCGGATTAATGATAACTTTTTTTTTTCCAACACCACCCGTATATTTGATGCCTCGGATTGTGACTTCGCTAGTTACTTTGATCTAGTTCATTTCGTATTATAATCACTTCATTTCCATCACCCTTAATAACAGTAAATATTACATATATAATGTCCTTAATTTGTTTTTTTTTTTTTGTTTGGATAGATATGGATCGAAGGAAGCTTTTATTGATCTTATTGTTAGAGATGTCTTATTTGGAGACAATTTGTATTTGTACGATTCTTGTGTTGATGATGCTACGTGGCAAACAGAGACATGTTGAACGACCCACATTGACTAACCGTTCACTTATTAAACGAGAGATTAGTTTGTGTTATCTGAGTGGTATAATAGGGAATACTGATACTGAATGTGTCAACGAATTGAGAATGGATAGAAGGACTTTTGGCATATTATGTGACTTACTTCGTCAAGATGGGAGGGTAAAAACTGATGGTTTGGTGTCTGTAGAGGAGCAGGTGTGTATGACTTTACAAATATTAGCACATCATACTAAGAATCGTAGTGTTGGCGGTAGATTTTATAGGTCGGGAGAGACTATAAGTAGGTATTTCAATAGCGTATTGCAAGGAATTTTGCGATTACAAGGATCCTACTAAAAGTCCCTCAGCCTGTGCCTATTGATTCTACATATCCTAGGTGGCGATGTTTTAAGGTATGATGAGAATTTTTTTTCATTTTCCCTAAGCTTTAACTCTTCATTCCCTTTGTATAAATTAACAAAAACTTTTTATTTTTTTATTTTTAAGAATTGCTTGGGAGCATTGGATGGAACACACATTGATGTGCATGTACCTGAAATTGACAAACCAAGATACCGAACAAGAAAGGGTCGAGTCGCAACTAATGTTAGGTGTGTGTTCAGGAGATATGCAGTTCATATATGTGTTTCCGGGGTGGGAGGGTTCCGCATCAGACTCTAGAGTGCTACATGATGCAATTAGTAGGCCTAATGGTTTTAAGGTACCAGCGGGTAAGACTATTACTTAGTCTCAACTTTGTAAGTTAGGTCTAGTTCTGTTTGTCAACTACAAAACACTAATAAGGTCTGTTTTTTTTTTTCATTAGGTTATTATTACCTTGTAGATGGTGGTTATACAAATGGTGAAGGATTCCTTGCACCTTATAGAGGAATACCTTATCATTTATCTGAATGGGAGGGACGAACACCTTCTAATAAGGAAGAATATTTTAACATGAAGCATTCTAAGGCAAGGAATGTAATTGAACGCTGTTTTGGCTTGCTAAAAGGAAGGTGGTCGATACTAAGGAGTCCATCTTTCTATCCGATAAGGACACAAGGTCGAATAATTACCGCTTGTTGCCTACTACACAATCTTATTAGGCAAGAGATGTCTGTAGATCCAATGGAGAATTTGCCAATAATAGAAGATGGACAAAATACAGAAGAAGGTGAATATGTTGGTAGTGTTCAAACATCTGACCAGTGGACTGCAAAGAGGAATGATATGGCTCAGGAAATGTATAACGAGTGGAGAGCAATTAGGAACCAGCAACCGAACTAGCTATATGTGTTAATGATAACATTTTATTTTAGTATTCCTTTTTATCATGCATTTGTTAGATATTAGCACAATGATTGGATGGTATGCAAATTAATTGGATATTATGTAAGTTGATTGGATATTATTGGCAATGTTGAAATTATGCAAATTGATTATTTGTATGGTATTTTCCTTCATTAAAATATTTTTTGTTTAGGTATGGATAACGAAAATATTTTGAATGCTACTCAAGAGCCAAAAGGAAGAAGGCGTAAATGGGAAGCATTTGAGGAAGAAGTATTACTAGGAGTTCTTGAGGATTTTGTTGCTCGGAAGCAACGGTGTGACACCGGTGCTTTCAAACAAGGTACTTTGGTTGAAATAGCAAAAGCTGTCAATGTTTTATGTCCTCATTCAAATATAAAGGCAAATCCACATATTGAGTCCAAGTTGAAGAAATGGAAAAAAAACATATAGTATGGTCGTTGACATGATAAACACAAGTGGATTTGCATGGAATGATGTCAAAAAGTGCGTTGAAGTTGACAGTGATGACTCATGGCAAACTTATGTGCAGGTTCATATCCTATTTTATTTATACATTAGTTATATTATTGCTGCTATATTTGTTACGCATGCTAAATTTTAGTTTTGCTATGTTGATATAATCTTAGAGAAATAAAGAAGCCGATGGATGGAGAAGCAAACCTTTTCCACTTTTTGATAGATTTGCATATATATTTGGAAAAGATCGGGCTACAGGTAATGTAGCCGAAACCCCTGCTCAAATGGTGGAGGAACAAAGTCATGATCATGTTGGTGAAAGTGATATTGGAGGTGAAAATTTTGTTTCTTCAATGAACCAACAAAGCCAACAAAGCACCCCATCTGAAAATAGCCAAAGAAAGAGGAAAAGAGCTGTGGGAAGTTCAAGTGATGGAACCGAGGCAATTATCAGTGGACTGAAAGATTTTTATGTTGAAAGTGGGAAGAGGATGCAAATGGTAACTGAAGCTTTAGTTCAAGGTACTGCAGATCATATTGACATAGCTAATGAACTTGAAGCAATGGGTCTCTCTCCTATGGATCAAATTGATGCATTGTCTCTTATTTTGGATAAACCAAAAAATGTGGCAGTGTTCAGGGCAATCAAACCGGAACTCAAGAAAGTGTTCGTCCAAAGGCTTTTAAGCGACAACGCAAGCGGATGAGGATTTTGGCTAATGTTAACATGGATGTATTTTATTAATGTTAACATGGATGTATTTTATTAATCATACAATATTATGTTATGGCTTATAACTTAGCTTTGCACTAGTATTTTGGCTTATGTTAACTAGCCATTTTGTAAATTATGGAGATCTATTTTGGCTAATGTTAACTAATGTTAACTAGGATTTTCTAAATTATGGAGATCTTCTTATGTACTTGTATTTGTTGAAGTTGCATGTATTGGGCACTATTATTTTTCTTCTGTTGGGTGATAGAGTTTAAACCAAGCTACATTTGCAAATTAAACCCAATTCTATTAGCAGGTAATAGAAACAAAACAATTGTCAATTTTTTTTAAGATTCATAATATACATGGCAAAAATATGCTCCAATTAACCCATATCATGAGATTTGTAGCATTACTCTATTACACAATGGCAAAAATTTGTAGTCCTAGTCTAAGCAAACACAAATCTGGTGAACAGTACTGTTTTTCTTATCCTGCTTCTTAGTCCGACATTACACCAAACGCTTCACTAAGTTAGTCCAGCTTAGTCCAGTCTAAGCCAGTCCAGCTTAGTCCCGGCAGCTAGTCCAGTCCGAGACAGTCCGGCGCAACAAACGCACCCTTAGTCTAAAAGAAGTAAACTAGCAGACAAATAGCTAAACTTTAGGACCTAATTACAGTGATTACAGTTTGATTTATTCTATAATATTTGATCCACAAATCAAGTTTTGATTGACGTTGACTTTGATTTCTAACAGGCCAAGGCATCACAATATCATAAATGTCCATATTTCTCCTTGTAATTAAGCACCTGTGAAACGGAAACAACAATCATCATCGTAAAGAAGGTTCAATGTTGTCAATAATCATATATACAACCAAACACTGGATGAAACAATTTTATAGGTCACAAATCTAATTCTTAGACCAACTGAATTAAGAATAGAGTAGGAAAGGGAATAAAGAATCATGGAAGCAAAAACATCAAATCTTCATACCATTGTTTTGCATCAAATCTGTAATCTTACATCAGTTGAATCATTCATGCATCATCTGTGGATGCAAATTTTGTCTGCGGATGATTTGACAAAATTCCACTTATAAGAGAACAAACACAGTGGCCTAATTGACGAACACTCAAGAAAAAGGGGAGGGTGCCTACCAAAGGGCCTTTGATGCCTAAGAAAAGGTAGAGAGAAAAATATAATGTGAGAGAGTCCTGAATAGTAAGTGGCGATTTCCATTTCCTATAAAAACTAGCTATTTATAGGGAATAAACCCTAGCAAGCAGCTGGAATGGGAGGCGGAGCATACTAGGCAGTCCTCAATAATGTTACCTAGTAGTCTCAGCAATACTGCCATCTAGTAGTCTTAAAGGTCTATATTGGTAAGAGTACATGTGTGTTACGGGTATGACCAGAAGAGCCTGGAGAGCTAGGAGATCCCATAATCTATGTCATGGGTGGCCCAAAAAACCCATAAGGCATGGGTAGCCCTGAGATCTCATGGCCCGTTAGTGGCATAAAATTCAATTACTTATAGGCAAACTATGTGTTATTCCCTTTAGGTAATTTTGTGATCTACTTCCGACTTGAAGGATAAACTTGTCACATTGAGTGTATTGTCCATATGTCATTCTATTATTAGATGTGGTTAATTTATGTCTCCACATCACCTCACCAAATTGTCTACCTTAGTGACCTCCTCATAAAATAAATATTATACAATTGAAGAAATCATGAGAAAAACATTGCCTACGTAGCCAAAGACGAAAAGAAAAAATTGAAAGTGGAAGTGTGAGAGAAAGAGTGACAAATACTAAAAAGAAGAAATAGAAAGTGTGAGATGAAGAGTGACAAATACTACCATGGCAAATGCGGGTGAACTCATGCCATCAATTTGTTTTAACTCTGAATAATTATGTTTGCTGTAAAAATAAAACAACAAAGACAAAGAACATGATTCGAGTAAATCTGAAATGGAAAGATGAAGCAATTAATCCAACCTCCATATGGCATATGTGCGTCACTAATGACCTTATCTAACAACCACGGCCAGGATCGGGTAGTCAGTCAAAACGAGTTAACGGTGATCCTCATCCCAAAGTCAAAGTACAACAGAAGACCATAAAATAGTAGAACAGGGTAGGCCCACGTACCCGAGCTCATGATTCGTTGGCGTAGCGGATACACACTCTTTTGCATATAAAATGAAGCGTTTGAGGGCCTTTGGGAGGCCAGATAGGTTTTTCCGGACGCTTTTTCTTCAAATTGTTAAGCTCTCGCTGATATATTCGCTGCCATGGCTCGCCGCTCAGGAGGTACGCGCCGCCGTCTCTTCTCTTCCTTGTATTTGTTTTCTGCTTTTTTATTATGTAGATCAGAATCCTCCGTTGGGTGTGATTTGGTTTCCATTTGTTTTCGTTGATTCTAGGGTTTCAGGTTTGCTGAGAAAACCATGAATCGATATGAAATTTATTTTTCTTGTACAATAGCATATGTCCATGTCGCTGTTTAATTAGGGTTAGGGTTCTAGGGTTTCTAATTTCCAAGGAAATGGAGGTTCTAGGGTTTATCTTAATTTATAAAGATTTTTATATAATCGTTTTCACTTGGTTTTCTGAATTAGGTTTATTGTTTGGCTAGGCGAATTAATACATCCACAGAGACATAAGGGATGCTTTATGAATTTTGTTTTTCTTTTTGTAGTGCGCTTTACATGTTGTTACGATGTTCATAACCGAATGAAAGTTATTAGATGTAAATTCTGTTGATGAAATTTTAGGGTTTGTATGTTCCCATGGCTGGGATAAACACTATGTATTTTTGTTGTAGTAACTTTTGGAGAGAGCTTGAGTTTGGGTTTGATTTCTTCATGTCACGGTGATTTAAATGCGTATTCATTTTCCCCATTTATGGGTTGTGTATGGTTAGTTTAATGCTCGTTGAACTCCTTTTGCAGGTCGATCTGCCCGCCCGGCTCCCCGTCATGCACCTGCACGCAACCCTCCTCAGCCTGGTACTTATTTAGGACATTACTGATAAATTAGCACTATTGCTAAATTAACATTTATTGCAGCAGGATTTATTTTGTTTGTCAATATATAATATTGCCCTTTCACCTCTAATTGCATTATCTGTGTTACAATGCAGTTCGCCAAGCTCCTCCTCCAGCTCCAGCTCAGTCTGGAAGTGGTGGATCTATGCTTTCCGGAATTGGATCAACCATAGCACAGGGTAATTTGTTTGTCTGGTTGCTTATTTCTGTGTTTGCACGATAATAAAAATTGGTATTGTATGTCTGACTTCCCCTCGTGTTGCAGGTATGGCTTTTGGTACTGGAAGTGCTGTGGCACACAGAGCTGTGGATGCTGTGATGGGTCCTCGCACTATTCAACATGAAACTGTAGTCTCTGAGGCCACTGCTGGTGCTCCAGTCCCCATGGCTAGCAGCATGGGTGGCTCAGATGCATGCAGTAATCAGTCCAAGGCATTCCAAGATGTATGCAGAACTCTACACCATTTTCCTTTTATTTTCCAGAAAATTTAGTGTCTCAAGTAAATGTTATTATGTTTCTTTGTTATACTTGTGGATGAGGAAGGGGAGGAATAGGAATGTACCCTTCTAGTTTTTATTTTTTATTTTATCTTCTCTTGCCCTGCTGCAATGCATTTCTTTGATGTGAAATTTGGTAGTATCTTGCCAGAATTTTTTATATACCCCTTTCCAAGAACTTGTGGTGCCTAGCGTGGACTGTTTTATTTGTAATTTCATAATATCTAGTTTCCTTTTGTTGTTTTAGCATCAAATGAGTAATCTACAGAATCCCTTGTGGAATTTTCATTCCAAATATCCTGGATTTTCAAGTGCTTTTCAGAAGGGTGTTGTAATGTTTGGCATGGATATCCTTGTGTTTTTATTTTTGGTGAAATAACCAAACGATGATATGAATCATGAGATATTTGTGTAATGACGTTTCATGCATCTGGAAGAGTTTTCTAGCTAGTTGAGACATGAATGTCTTTTTAATGGTTTTCACTTTGGTTTATTTGACCATCAAAATGTTCTTGTTTCAACAATTATCTTGTAATTAATTTGACTGATCCTTATTAACTGAAATGAAATGGGAAGTGTGAAGTGGCTTCAGAACTAACTTCAGTCTATTTGTTGACTTTGCAGTGTGTCAACCACTTTGGAAGTGATATAAGCAAGTGCCAGTTCTACATGGATATGCTGTCCGAGTGCAAGAAGAACTCCGGCATGTTGAATGCCTAAGCACACTACTTTCTTTGCCATGAGATGAATTATTACCCGATTTAAACTCTGAACGTTTTATTCATTCCTGTGCCTGTCGTGATGATGAATTAGTGGTCTATTGTGGCGGAAGGATTTATATAAATCTTTGTATGCATGGTAGTACGTGCTGCGTTAATTAGTACTTATTTGAACTCGGTTTCTTGTTTCCGAGTATTCATCTTGGTAAAATAATGATTTTTGGAGCTATGCTGGTTTCCGTGTTATAAGTGCTCATGTCCTCTGCTGTGGTCTTTTCTTTACTGGAACTGCTGTGGGAAGGGTTGAACCTAAGGTCTTTCATTTACAAGTGAAGGAATACTATTAGACCGTAGTAGTAAGTGGCAGGACATAAAGATTTACATGTAAAGAAAATGCAGTGTTCCTCTCCCAGCGACTCCAGCCCATGGAGATAGGCTGGTCCAAAGCCTAAAANGCTCTTC